CTGCTGTAGCTGAACCCAGGACAATCTCTTATTTGTGTTCTCTTGTTTTGGGGATATGTTATTTTGTGGTAACCAATCAATTCTTTTGGACTTCTCATTTTTCCTGGATATACATCATACTGAAAAGTAACGTTAGGAAGAATTTAATAATTTCTGGGTTTGTATTAGTTTCTGGTTTTGCATTTTGTGAAGCTAAAATAATATTATCAGATTAGTTTATAATAGTTTATATGGTTCCCTGTACGTGTTGAATATTTTAACAGAGCACGATTTTGCATAGGTGTTAGAAAGTAATTTTTAATTTACATAATGATGGCTGTCATTTTTAAGGCTTGCAGATTTCAATTTTATGAAACGACAAAGAAACAGAAATGAGTGACTTTTCTGTAAACAGAAATATGAGCAGTTCCGAATTATGCTTGCTTACAACTGACAAGTTGTTTTTTCGGTATTTGTCGTTATTATTCTAGTTATATTAAGAAATGGGTGTAGGAGGGATTACTTGTGAGAGAAAAAAATGCTAAATTGTTTCTTCTCTAAGTGGACAAAGTGGTAATCTTGTATATCAAAAGGTAAATAAAGTCCTATTTGAAGTTGTTCGTTAAAATACCTATATGTGTTGCAGTTCACTAAAGGAAATAAGCAGTGCACCAGATCTCTCCCATGTTTCACTCATAATAAAAATCAAATGACCAGATGTTAACAAAAATTATGTAGGTGACAAAATAATCCATATAAGCTTCCATCTCTACTCTGATGTTCTGTTCGTTGCTTCTACTAGTTCTGTTTTTCAGCTGGAGTTGTCAACTTTAAAAACAAGGTAGTAATCCATAACAGAGTGACCCAACTGGTTGTTCGCCACTTTGTCAACACTTTCACTTTGCCATTGCTCACAGCTTTCACCAACTGTTAATCCAAACCAAACCCTTAGTTGTTCTTTTTTATATTGCAGGAATTTTTGAATGTTAAATAACTGCTAAAAATTTATAAAATATATTTGCCTTTTTTGTAAATGGCAGAACAAACTGATGCAATTGCAAGGGAGAGGTTACAAAGGACCATTACAAACACATAGACAGAACAGGACTGATTAGCATATTTCCTCAACCAGAAGATACTCTGGCTGTGTACTGTACATGCTCTCAACATGGTCAAATCTGGTTGCTTAGAAATTTGTGAATTTCAGTCAAATATCTATGACTGATAAATTGTGAATGTTAGAACGTTGTTCTTACAAGATCACAGAAAATGAAACATGTTTTTATTTCCCATTGAATATTTAAAGTAAACTAAAAATGCTGGTTTATTCAAATAAAAAGTAACAATTTTCACACTTTTTTGGTGAATCTTGGGCCTTAAATTTCATTCACTGAAAATACCATTAGGGACATGTGTAATAAAATAGATTTAAAATACACAGAGGGTAAAACATTTGGACATTATTCTTTAAAAGGGCCATATCATAATTGTTATTTCTAAAACAATAAGCTTCAATTATTTGATCTCTGGAACTCTGCTGACTTCTGAACAACAAACTATGTCATTTTAGCTAGACAGTACTTAGACTGTCCCCTCTTTTTTAAGAAATTATAATAATTTCCTGTTTGAAATTTTATCTTTTGGATTGGATGAAATGTAGTTCTTTACATAAAAGACTTGAAGATTTTTTTTCTATGTATACTTGTCCAAATAATTTAAATACTGAAGCCCAGTAGTAACTTTTTAAATCTGATCTGCCAGTAATTATAATAATTTATCTTTGGATGTAAAAACTTCTTCCTACACATCACATATAAACTCTGATGAATCACTCTTTCAAAAGAGAAAAAATGAGAAACAGCTTGCCAGGCTGTTATCTTAGGTTTACACTTTTTCTTATTACTAGTAGACTGCAGAAAGCTTAGATAGTACCATTAAATTTGAGTCTTAATGGGCATCAAATTCATCTATCAATAATGACTTATAATATCATTGAAAACCATGAAAAGCACAGAGTCATAAATGATCTTACTACCCATGGTACAAAGAATTTCATTACCAGACTTTTCATTTGAAAAGATGCAATGTCCCAAATCAGTCTTGCAGTATGTGCAGAAGCCAGTGTTAATAAATATGAAATATTATTCCTATTAATAAAACACACTCTACATATCATAAATCTGCAAGTCTTTCAAAATGCTGCCTCAACTTGTTCAATGCATGTTATTCTTGTCAATTCAGGTGCTGCCATGTTGGAGGGAAATAGCCCAGGTATGTTTAAGGTAGCCTACTCATATGCAACAAGTCACTAATGTTAAAACCCATTAATGTAGTTCCTGTAGGACTAGCAATGGGAGCCAGTGAATCATTAAGGAGTAATGGGTTTAAACTTAAAGAGGGGAAGTTGAGGTTAGATATAAAGAAGTTCTTTACTGTGAGGGTGGTGAGGCACAAAACAGGTTGCCCAAAGAAGTGGTGAATATTCCTTCCCTGGCAGTGTTCAAGGCCAGGCTGGACAGGACTTTGAGCAATCTGGTCTCGTGTGAGGCGTCTCTGCCCATGGCATGGGGGTTAGAACTAGATGATTTTAAGGCCTTTTCCAACCCAAACCATTCTATGATAATAAACAGCTAAGCCTGCTACTCCATAGTAAAAAAACACTCCTGTCGCCTATATTTTAGTACACAGCTGTTCTCACAAGGCTGAGTAAAGTTCTATAACAGGATTTACAATTGTATTTACAATTCTCCAAAGAGGCAAGAATTTACACTGAGAACTTCACATCTTCTTATTTTACTAGATTGAACACTATCACTTTGTAATATGGGAATATAAGATAATAATGTGCCCAGACAATAAATTATCTTTGACACCAAAACATGAGCAAATACAAAGTTTAAGTAAATTATTATAAATATTAACTAATCAGTAAGCATACACTGTTCAAGCTCTTGTTAACTGTTCAACTTCAGATCCCTTCCTGTTTTAAAAGCATTCAGAAATAAAATTTGTTTAAAGATCTGGACAGTGACTGTTAATATCAGACCACATTGGTCAGTGGGCAGGGCAGGGGCATGTTTACAGGAAAATCATCCTTACAGGAAGCATGTAATTCATCTTGATTTACCTATTACAGCTTTTCAGTTTTTCACAGTTCTTTCACAGTTTCTGTAATATGGTAGTCCTGTAAAGCCTGTAGTGGACCAGACTCTAAATGGCAGAAATGAGACAGAAAAGCCAATCTTGCCTACCTGTCAAACCGATTGCCTAATAGGTTGCAGTCATTGCAACCTCTGTAGACTCAACTTTTACCATTTTACAATGCAGCACACTTAACAAAGTAGGATCATGGGTGAAGTCCTTTCCCTCATTTACAGCTATGTTAAACACACATTAAGGTGTCTCGTTTCATGGGTCATAATTTTTAAATAACATTTTTCTAAAAAAGTAGGATGACTTTGAACTCCAAAAGAAATTTAGGTTAAGTTTCAAAGGTGCAATAATTGATGATGGTAAAATGTAACAATTTATATTTTGTTGTAGTGAGTATGACTGTTAGCACACAAATATTAACAGAGATCCCAGGCATATAGCAGTCACAAACATTCTTTTCTTACCACTTATATGTTGTACCATTCTGTTTCAAGGAGACATATAATATGGAAAGCTGCTGTATCTCTGAAGAAATTGATTTTCACTGTATCCTCTGCTGTTTAACAGTAAGTGGAAGCTATCTTTTTATAAAGCTTTATTGTTTCTTTTGAAGGCCTCCTTCAATCCATTTTGTTGCACATTGAATGCATCTTACAAATAGGGACAATCTGCAGATAAATACTTCCTTGCAGTGCTTACACAGACATACTTTTGCTAACTTCAGACTTCATGCGAGCTGTTCTCTTTTGAAGGAGAGATGGTATGTATGTAAGCCTCACATTCAAGACAGATAGATACACAAAGATCATTTCAGGCGCAAAGGTGCCCATAGCTGCAGACATATGATTATACAGATGTCCTATATTTGCAACAGGGTAGGAATATGGACTGAGAGAAGAACCTGTGTAAACCTCATCCGTTGTCATGTCAGAGAGTGAAGTACTAACCTTATTTGCAATGTTCTTATAATAGTGTGATATCCAAACTATACATTCTTACCATCAGGGACTTGAATATTTTCTTGGATATTGGCTGGCTTATTTGTATTGACCATAGCAGAATTCCTTGCAGCAGGCATAGCAGTTGCACCAGGAGGTACACCAGTCAGCAGCAATTCTACTCGTCTTTCTACTCTCTGCCTGGCTTGACAGCGTACCACAGCTACAGGGAAGCAAAAACCCAAGCAAGCATTATCATCATGATTTTAACAAAAAAAAAAAAAAAAAAAAAAAAAAAGGAAAATTAACATAGAAGTCAAATGTTATATAAGAATTCCAATAAGGACCAAGACAATTGAAAGCTTTTCCCCAATCCACAATTTCTATTGCTCTGTTTAGGTGAAGTAATAGAAAATATTGCTAAGCAAATAAAAGTCTGTTCCTACAGTTAGTTCACAATAGCATTTGCAATTTTTTCCCTTTTTTTTCTAATCATGAAATATATCTTTGTTTTAGTTCAATTTTTCTAATAGAAATTATGGCATAGTTTGACATATACCAATAAGAAAGAAAGACTGAAAGGAAAGCAAACAAATTAAAGAATTTAAATTCAAAATTTAAATCAAAGAATATTAAGTTACTCTTTGGTTTCTTAATTTAAAACTACTGTTTTTCAAACTTCAGCTTTTATAGAATTATGACAGAATAAAGAGCATTCTAACATGAGTTTCTCTTTGAAGCATGACAGATCTTTTTTCAGTTCAGTAAGTGATTCTCAAATCTTTTCTCATTACAAGGTAGTTTGGTTTTAGCTTATACACCAGATTTTATAAAGGTTACTACAATAGATATTGTTTATCATTCTTTCAAAGCCAATAATTATAAGTGGCACAGAAGGAGGTGAAAATGAGATGCAAGAACTGAAAGAAAAAATATGTTTTTCCAAAGAAAAGACTAAGAATTTTCTAGAGTTACAGAAATCAACATGAAAGAGCTGTTTACTTACTTCTCAGTTTTAAGGTCTAAATATGATTTTCATCAGATTTATACCAATAATTCTTTAAAAATAAACTCTGAACTTAACATCAAAATTTATGATTAATAATTTAGAACTATATCTTGGTAAATAGTCATATAAAGTGTTTTTAAAAAGAGCAATAAACCTCTTACTTTTATACCATGTTTATTTAGCTTCAACTTTCAGTTCTGAGTTTGATTTACTATAATTATTTTCTTTTAATAGATAATTGCATATTAACTTCAAGTAATCTCCTTTCTCTAAAAAATAAAAAAAAAAAAAAAAATTTTCCCCTTGGTCTTTTCTTGTTCAACAAGGTTTAAGTTATTTCTATGTCTCTCTTCTAGCTTCCTTCTAAGCATTTTCATGCAGGAGAGTTACTGAAATAGTTAATAGTTAAAAATACAGCTTTTTTTTTTCTGAGATGCATGGCCTTATATTTAAGAATAAATTACACTGTCTGCATTACACCAGTTTATCAGGTATTTCAGATTACTGTGTGCACATGTGTCACATCATTTTCTGTTCCACAGCTCATCTTACGACGAGAAATGATTTTACATTTTCTTTTACCTATATGGCTAAGTAATATTTATGGCTAAAAATCATCACTGGAAAAGTCCCTGAGCAACCTAGTGTAGTCAGACCGAGCAGGGAGTTGGATTAGATGACTTCTGGTGGTCCCTTCCGATCTAAATTATTGTACTCTGCTTTGACTCTACAAGAATTGGGAGAAGAGAAAAAAAAAAAAAAAAAAGATATCTGGATAATTCTCCATTGTATAAGACAGCCAAGTTGTAATCTTCTTAACATGTACTACATGGGTTGTGACCATGGATCATTTTAATTGGTCTCATGAGATCCTAGGCCAAGTAACTTCTAAAAGTTTAAATATATTAAGATGTAAATAAGAATGACACAAAAGATGAACAGCCTAATACAGTAGCAAGGCAGTTTTTGGTTTTGCCGTAACAGCTTGTAGCCTCCAGGCAATTTCAATAAATGTCTGCATTAAAAGAAATGGCAATACCATTTTGATCATCATTAAAAACAATGATTTAAAACCAAAGTAGATCTCTTGTAAATGGCCTGCTTTGGATTCATATCTTATAACAGAGATTTTTAAAAAGTCAATTTATAACTGAAAACCATAGGTTTTTTGAATGGATTCTGTTTCATGGATATTCTTATAAACAGAATTTCAGGTCATCTTTCAATGAAAGATCTAGTACTTCTTTATAAAAAAAATAAATAACCCAGTGTAACATGCTGATGACCAAAGAGTGGTATGTATTAAAAATTAATGCAATCCTCCTTGTATGCATTACAAACATTTAATGAACATAAACTGATGGATAACACATTTATAAATACTGCACAGTTTAGTTTTGCTGGTTTAACTAAGCATTTAGGAATTTTAAAATATATAAGAACTACTTAAGTTTCTAATTATATACAAAAGTGGTGTTACTTAAGTAATTTATGAACGCTAACAATTCTAATTAATAACTTCTATACCCACAGATTCTGTGATTCTGTAATGAAAAGAACAGCCCAGTAAAAGGGAGATTTATCACAAAGTCTGCCAGTGAGCAACATAATAGCTTTAAATAACACAACAAACATTCACATCAATATACATAGTTTTAATGCTAATGAGACTCGTTAAAACTGTCATTTTGGGCAACAGTTGATTGCATGATAATCTGCTTCATTCCTTAAGGTATGAAAGTGGAAATTAAAGAGATGAAAGCTCTAATTAGTATTATATCATTGGTATTTGTCTGCAAGCAAAGGGTCTTTAAGCAAATTAAATGGATAGCAAAAATGCCTATTTCTACAGCTTTCCATAAGTTATTCCTGTACTTTAGTCTATTCAGTGTAGAAAGGTACTATATTCACTCATCAAAAGACAAGATGAAAAGACAAGTTGGTGTAAAATCGTCCCTCATCTAAACTTTGAGCTGTAGTTTCATCAAGGTTATAGATTTAAAATACTATCCACAATTTCAATTTCACAGTTCTGGGATTATATCACACCTTTAAAAAATTGGTCCATCAAATCTATAAACATTTACTATCCCAAAAATAAGTAACAGCAAAAATCTTATGAATGTCAGTCATCTTTTAATGCAAGTTTGTTTCTCAGGAGCAAGTGGAAAACTTACTGCTCTTCACACTAATGTATATTCTGGAGTTTATCAAGGATTTAAATTCAAGGCTGAGAGAAACAGCAGATATGTACTGTAATATTTTGTACCCTGCAAACTCTCCAGCAGGTTGTTCTGGGTATACTAGCAGAAATCTACCACTGTGTTAGTCTTTTGTTTGATTTACCTTCAGATCTCTAGCAGCATTAACTGGGACACTGAAGGGCATGAAGATTTTCAACTACTCATGTCTCCTTTACCCACAATGAAAACAAAATAATAGATTTAGATTTGCTTTGTGGGTTGGGAAAAGAGATTTCATTTTTAATATGTATTTTTATCATTTTTAAGATATAGTAAAGTACTACTGTAAATTCTCAAACAGGTGAGAACACAAATTACTTTAATTTTCTTAAATTCCTTGTTAGAATTTTTTCAGTCATTAACTTACTTGGAATTAATTTCTGCTGTGGTGCTTCAGGTAATCCATGAACTGGATAGATCCAGAGTATTCCCTTAATTCCCCCATTCTCTGCTACAGTAACACTGTTGGGAAAATAAGTGAAAAGTATCATTATGATAGACTGCTGAGAATTTTTTTTCAAAGTATTCTAGACTTAAGAGCTGTTGGAGAGTTGAGACTCCATGTTTAGCATTACAGCATATAAGAAAAATGTGAAATAAAATCCTACCAAATAAGAACAGTAATTATCACTTAGTTTACTGTCTTTGAATATTATTTGAAGGATGTGAGAACACTTGGCCTGATCTGCTCTCTCTTATGCCATGTCTGCACTGAAACAAAATTTATACAGTTTATGCATTAAATAAGCATATCGATAGAAGAATCATTATTAGTCAAATATACTAAAAAATTGAAGGCATCTAAGAGCTTTAATTTGCTCAGTACCCATAACTACACTGGCAGTTAGTACTTTATATTTTCTTTATTTAAAGTTAGAAAAAAAATAGGTATTAAAACAGATAAAAGTCTTTCTTACCCTAAATCTGTATACTTTTCAGGGTACATTTAAAGCTTATGTTGGATACCTAGTGCCTTCAAAATCAGACACTTTATTGCCCTTGAAAGCTACACATAAATAGACAAAGGGGAAAATAATAACAGGTTTTAATATCCTCAACTACTTCTACTATTGAAATAAATTACCTCTTTAAGTCTTTATTTAATTCAGCAGAATCCTCATATGGCCAGTTTTCACCATTTTCCCTCATTACATGAATTACCACTACCGCCTCATAAGTTTTCATTGTATCTGGCATGAATAACACTGGGATGTTCAGCTTTTGTTTTGGAGCTAATCGGATTCCTGTAAGATATAACAGAACATTGCAGTATTCTACAAATTTTGAAAATTATTTACATAATTTTACTCATATATTTCTTTTTCTTCTTTTTGATACACTATTTAACATTTTATCATAGGTACCATTCTCCCAGTGAAAGCAGATTTCATTTTACCCTGCTCCTGCTACAGCCAAATCTCAAAATCTCTTGTATAGGGGCACTGATAAAACTTTGAAATGAGACCCGGGCAGACCCTGAAGGCTCGAAACAAAACAAGCATGATTAAGTGAATGTCCCACACTTCATATTCAAGAATCATGTATAATATATGTAAGTCAATCCCATTATTTTCTAGGGCCTAAGTCAGTTTCTTTAGCATCTGTGGGTTGCAATATGAGAGAAAAACACTGTACAGAAAAAGACTAATCGAAAAGAAATTGTTCATGTTCAGGACATAATTGAAATATATTTGCAAGAATCTACATTATTATTATACAAGCCATGTCTTTTCTGAACAATTTTTCATCTGATTGATTTTGCTGTTAAAAAAAAAAAAAAAAAGGACAAACCTATGTTGTCTATAATGAAGGTAGTGTGATACATTGCATTTTTAAGGGCCTTTTTCCAATGACTTGCCAGTCTGCCAAGTGTCAGAACATCTACCTCAGGGTATTCCATCTATTTCAGAAATAAAGTTATAGAAAAATTACACAGAGTAGAGTAAGTAAATCATATAGTCTTTTCACTATTAAGCTCCTTGCTTCGAATTCTTGAAATTTGATGGAACTGACAGCTTGGGGTTAGAGTTCCAGCTTTAATTCTATAAGCAGAAAAACCTGTTATGAATAACTACTTCTGCATTAAGCTTTGAATTGATTTTTGTGATAATTTTTCATGCCTGCTGCAATGCATACATGTTAATACAGGTCTATGAGGATTGCTCAGTAAATCTGCTCAAATTAATGTGCATGGGATGAGCAACATTCTCCCTGTGATTGTTTCTTCTGATAACCACAGGCTACTGTGTGCTTAGAAAATGTCAACAGGGAAACTATCTTGTGATCCAAATGTTCAACTTCCTACAGCCTAAATGTCTTGAAGGTGAAGACCTCAGTGGTGAGAGCTGTACCAGAATGGGTGATAAGGAAATTTTAGTGAAGTCTTGGGAAGGACAAAATACAAAAAAGAGATGGATGCGTGGAAGTTTGGAAATGAACATGGATGTGTAGGAAGACAGAGTAAAATGATGACAGACAAGAAAGGACAGAAGCAAAAGAGGTCAAGTAAATCACAGAAGGGTGGGAGAGATGGGTTTGAAAGAAACCTCTCCAAAACACAGAACAGAAGTCAGGACTCCTCATCTGCACCAACTCTCTGTTAGCATTTAATTATGAAGTCTACTAGGCATGACAACTTCTATTGCTACCTCACAATCTCTTCTTGCTATCATTTATTCCTTCAACACAAACAGCAACCTTGAATAAAGATACCCAGAGTATCTTGAGTAGATTAACAGCATGTTTAAATTAATGAGTTGCCCTGTCCAGACTGATTACTTCTATGAAGAATTATCTTGTACTGTGTTGTGTAGGTACCTTCTATAGTATATAACCCCATTGAAGTTGATGCGGTTCTGTAGCTGTACATCTTTTAGTTAAAAACAATCTTAAATTAGAATAAGATAATCAAATTGAGATTGGAAAGTTAATCTTAAATTAGGAAAATTAGGATTAATTAAAGACAAACCACTCCGCAGGATTTCTGCCTCTTTCAGTAACGACACCTAAAGACCTCCAATATATACCCTCCCTCACACTATTATGGGTGCTACAAACACTAGGGATTTCTTACCTAACTATATCTGGATTTCTGTATATAAAAGGTTTATCATGTAGTAGTTATGGAAATTAAGCAACTGTTTTGCTTTTATAATTGCTTAATTTTTGCATATTTCTTTAAGTCCATCATGGCATGAGCTATTTGTCTTTGTAATACTTATTTCAGAAGTCTTTTACCTCAAAATAGCTTGAAAGTATCATTAAAAAGTAATTTAAAATTTAAAAAGGAAATTAAAATTTAAAATAGATGAAAAAATAGATTATATTTCTTTTTTGTTCTCTTTAAATAAAGATTTAAGAATTTTCTTTAAACCTTAATCTGCCTATTTGATGTGTTATCTATTAAGTACATACCCAATATTTAAAAGATATATAACATACATATGCATATTTTGTGCAATACTATGGTCAAAGGGGTTTTTTTAAACCTTTAAAAATTAGCAACTAATTTTTCAATACAGTATCCAAAATAATTAAGATGACCATACACATTGTTTCCATTCTTCTGAAAACATCTCAAATAGGATCCATCTCTCTGGAACAGAAGTCAGTTAGTGCATTGATGCACTATTTTCCCTCTGTGAGAGAAAAGGCAGCTCTCTACCATGATTTGCCCACTTTGGGCAAATGGTGTAGTTAAGGCAGAGGCCTTTCAGTTCTTTAAATTAGAAGTGTATTCTTCAGGATATATTTGCAATTAGATTGCCTTGATACAATATTGATACAAACACATGCATACCAAAATAGTGTAATCAACAACAGTATGTAAGCACTTTGTAACACCATCATGGTACATCTGTAAGTTTCATTTGCAACTCTTTTATCAAATGACAAATAGAACAGACTGTAAACTATTACTTATTTTTACTACATATGTATTGCATATACTGTTTAAGCTGTAGCTTCGTTATGCCTGTTACAGGACATAGTGCCTTGGATTTTCTTAATAAATTTAAATACAGAACCCATATGATAGTATTCTGGGTCATTCTGGCAGAAAATTGGTTATTAAAGATGATGAAAAGACAAATTTTACAATGTTGCTGTTGAAACAAATGGGATTCACAATTTTAATAAAAAAATCTTCTTAGTGGAAGCTTTTCATAACGACAGAAATTCTGTATCACTGGGCTTGCCTGCAGCTGTCAATGAACCAACTGAACATTAACTGCTAGTACAGATTTATTTCGTTATGAATTTGCCTGGTTTATAAGACAGATGAAATAGACCTAATTGCAAAAATCGCACATTGCTTCATGCTTCTCATTTCTTCTTCCCATTTAGAGAATGTGGGCCAGCACAAAAGACAATAAGTACGTGAACAACTTCAACACAAATTAACATTACCAGCCAAGTTGCTCCTATTTGCCTGTGGATCTCAAGTAAGCTCCAGGTATACCAAGAACTGATGTCTAGAACCCTTATCTTCATGTATTTATACTGCAATGACTCAACATAAGAAGGACATGGATTGTTGAAGCAAGTCCAGATGGGGACCACAAGGATGATAAATGGGCTGGAGCATCTCTCACACAAAGTCAAGCTAAGAAAGTTGGGGCTGTTCAGCCTGGAGAAGACAAGGTGCATGGAGACCTCATAGCAGCCTTTCAATATCTGAAGGGGGCCTATAAGGATGCTGGAGAGGGACTCTTCAGTAGGGACTGTAAGTGATAGGACAAGGGGTAACGGGTTTAAACTATCACAGGAGAAGTTCAGTTAGATATAAGGAAGAAGTTCTTTACTGTGAGGGCAGTGAGGCACTGGAATGGGTTGCCCAAAGAAGTGGTAAATGCTCCACAGCTGGTAGTGTTCAAGGCCAGGCTGGACAGAGCCTTGGGAGACATGGTTTAGTATGAGGTGTCCCTGTCATTCTATGTTTCTACAACTATCCACAAATTCTTACTAAGAAATCCATAGTGAGGAATTTTTTTTTTTTTTTTTTTTTTTTTTTTGCAATAAAGCTGCATCACATGTAGCAAAATGCTTTCAGCCAGATTTTGTTACTAACTTACTTTCACTGTCCTAGAGGCCATTAGGAAACAATGATAGCAGAGGAAGCTCAGCTGACCCTTTAAAAGACTGAAGCCATCTAATCCAAGTCAAGGGCTGCAATTAGAGTCAACTCTCTTACAGAGAAAAGATGTGTCCTCCCTCATTTCTTTTTTAGGTAACCTGTTTTTAAGCCTTGCCTCAAGCCTCTCCAAAGGCTGATTAAAAGATTTCTTGGGCACTGCATCCTTTGACACTTGAGTCTAGAAATCAGAACTGCACTAGATAATTAAATCAAAATGAGTGTATTTCAGATTCCCTGCTTTAGTTCTGTGGGGCACTGCACTTTGGTTGAGTTCCATGTAATTTCTCTGTCAGTCCTAGAAAGCATAGCACTGTGAGAGCTAAAATTAATTAGAGTAATGAAGCAGTGGATCCCCGTAGTTGGAATGTTTTTTGGAAGGAATACAGATGGGTAAAACTGCTGCTCTTTCTTACCTCTGCAGTAGCATAGGAAAATGTTTAAGAGCAAGCATCACAGGCAGTGCCACAGTGATAAAATTGTGATGGCAATGAGCAAAGTGTCTTGCAATATTTTTGAAAACAATCATCATCCTCTCATCTAACCTTATCTTAAAGCCATGCATTTTTCATATTAGTAAAGTGCTTTGATGGCAGGTTTTCTAGATGCTGAAAGGACTATCTCCCTGATGCATTGCTCTTCATTCTGTAGCATCTCAGATTGCCTTCCATTGATTGTACCCAGAAGAATGGCACTCAGTTCAGATTCCTCTAATTGAAAAAAGAGAGATGAGGCAGAGCTCACTGTGTCTTATTGAAGTCTGATGGGGAATCATTTAAGACTTGACACTTTTGTTTGTTTGGGTGGTTTTTTACTGGTTAGTTTCTCCATTAAAATTATTAGTATAGAATCATTCCAGTTAAAACCACAGACAGCTCTGCTAAAATTAGAACTGGCCATATAAATGCCAACCTAATGTAATCAGGTCTGGTTTCTATCATTATCCTCAGAATCTGGAAAGGACAACCTCCAAAATATTCACAGAAAGCAGCTGCTGCTGCTGCTGAAGAAGGATTATTAATTATTTCTCAATGAACTCATCCAGAAAAGGGGACTGATATCAGGCAGTAAGGAGTGCGGTATTGCCAGCACTCCACTAAGTATCTGAAATAC